CTTCAACGGAAGGTTTCCAGATGGATATGCGGAGCAAATCCATCTGGCGGAGTCAGGTTAGGCCTAGACTAATTGACAAGGTGAATCTCGGTTCCCGCGCACAGCATCGATAAACACTACGTGATAAATACTGACCTGATAAATCATTTATAGATCTCAGATTAAGCAAAGTTTTCATAAAAATGTTTACAGAAGAGTGGCAGGAATAAAACTACTTCTTATTTAGTTTCTTCTTTCATATCTTATTCAACTATATAATAGAATACAATTGAATAGAACATCTCTTTATTCTCTCATGTGGTATGTTGAAATATGTCTGTTCTTAGCCTAAAAAGGCTCCAAACGAAGGTTATGAGAGATAAGAATGAGTTACACAGCTTCCTTCATGGCATGAAGGGGAGGACTGCTGTTTTTAGGAGATCCATCTTACCAGTGAAAGATATATTAACCTCACAGCGAACAGACTTGATGAACTCAATTTGTTTTTCCTCCAAATGTTCAAATGTCAGAAAGTTCTTTATGCAGCAGGTGGGTTAGTTCCCTTTGGGGGAGTGTGTGTGTTGGGATTTTTGTAATGTATAAATGTACATACTGAGCTTTGCCCAGTCAGAGCCATATCTCTCCGTCTGAAGACGTTAAATAAATTTAAACCTTTTTCTTGCAAGAAATGCTTCCGCCTCCGCTTCCTAACTCGACAGCCACAATGCGAAAATTCTGGTGTTTACAGCAGCAAAAAGACTATAGAATAAAATGGTGACACCAATGTGGACCTTATAAATAATAATAACATAATTGTGAAGAGCTAAAAAATAAACAAATAAAATGCTGTACTGTGTTTTAACAATATAAAACTGTGCACCTGGAGAATAAATAACCATTTTTACAGTAAATAACAGCAACATCAGAGATGTGCAAAATGACAGCTATGTATTGATTTTTCAAATTTCTTTTTATATTTGTTGTACAAAATGGATATTAACATTTTTGTAGGTTGTAGAGCAATAAATAGCAGAAAAAGCTTTCTCAAGCTTCCCACATATAGTTGGGTAAATCAGACCATTATGGGGCAGATTTAAAGACGCCGTTTTCTACTTTAGGTCAGCTTGTGAAGATGCTGCTTTACACAGAAGTGACGCGGTACCTGGACTTTAAAGTGGTGGAGGGAAGCTTTGTTTACAAAGGAGGGAAGATCTACAAGGTGCCGTCAACTGAGACCGAGGCGCTCGCTTCCAGTAAGACATCGCCTGCAAATATGACCTGTATGGAGGGAATTTTGTTCCATCATTTTTACAAAAAAGCAACAAGTTTTAAAAATAAGAATAATTGAGAAAAATCAATTTAAAAAAATGAAACTTATTAAAAAGATAAAAGCTTCTGATATTAACTTTGCAGTTTTTACTTATATATTATTTTTGTAAATTTTATTTTTTCATATAAATTTTTTAATAAAAAAAAAAAATCTTTTCACATTTCTCTTTCTCAGACTGAGTTTTACGAAATTCATCGTTTTCAAATTATTTTTTACATTCTCTTCACTTCAGGCCCAATGCAAACATTTGCTCTTGACCAATAAAATGTTGTTAATGTCCATCAGACCAATAGGAATACATCTTCACTCTTTACTCCAGTAGAAAATATGATCTTTAAAATGCAATTTTAAAAGTATGTAATTCGGAAAACTCAGTCTGAAACAGAGCAATTAAAAATATATATATACAAATCATAACATTTGAAAAAGAAACATGAAAAGAAAAAAAAAAATACATACTAAGCAATTTAGAAAAACAGAATCTGAGAAAACATCAAAATTACTCCGAAAACCTTTTTTGATTAAGACATTTTTTTTTTCTTATTTTATCTATTTAATTTGAAAGTTTTATTTCTGGATTTCATTTTTTCAAATTACCATTTTCTTTTTCTTTTTTTTTTTTACGGTGTCCTGTCTGGCAA